TGGGGTAATTTAACATTGACACACAATCGAAGCCAATGCTGAAAGCAAAAATGATGTAATAAGGCTTCAAGTTGGGGTTTGGATCAATTTGAACTATACTGGATGACCTAAATTACGCTTTAGATTGCACTTTTATAGATATGAATGCCATCTGTGTCGTTACGAGTCCAAAGTTTAACCAATGGGAGACTGTGGAGGCCTCCAAATGTCATGATCTCACATTGACACCACATCTGGGACAGCCACAGCGTAATAAATGACGTTATGATGCTTTCACGTGGGTTTGGCAGCGTCCATATTAAATTGCATGATGTAATATGCTTTGTGGACGCCTCCTGGATCGGCATTTCTGTCACTTGTGACATCACGAGTCCAAATGTGAGCAAGTGGAGGTCCTACGCACTTCTAGTTCGTTTAAGTGTGCTTTTATTGGTGAGAGGCGGGAACCAATTGAGAACACGAATCATGTGCGTGAATCCGGCGAGGAGTCCCCTTCCAATTGATGTCTCCTAGTCGTCTCATCTGCATCCCATACCCCATCCTTCCTAATAAAAAATGTCCAATAAATCATCTGCAGTTAACTGTCTCCTGAAGTCTGGTGTTCAGGGGTCAGGGGTAGACAGGAAGCCCTTGCATTCAGATTACGTAACTTGTACTTTTGTAGCGTTTCATAACGTATAAAATCGAAAGTTCGAACCCCCTTTAGGTAATATCTGAGATCTGTCATACTGTTTGGCAATTTTTTTATATTTGCCATGACGTCACGATTTAATTGGCACTTTTGCTTTGCAATGATGGTGTTGGCGATGATGGCAGCAACCAGCCGTTCAGTTGCCGAACTACGCGGCAAGCACTTTCATTAACACCTAATATGACCCCAAGGTCAAGTGTTTGTCCAAAAGCACGCGCGATTGCGTAACATATACTTTCATGTGAGATATACTTTCAATGGTCGCATGACGTCGTCGTAGTTGGGTAGGCGAGATGGTCAGGTCGATGACCGCCATTGGACAGGCGGAGAGGACATTCGTCTCGTCCCCGTACTACCTACCCAAACTACTAGTCAATTGACAGTAGTATGCCGTCTCATCAACTGGGAGCACAACGCGGACACAGTGCTTAGTGGTGCTGCGTACGTAGGTACAGTAGGAGCAGGCTAAGAAGAAGAAGCCTGCTGCTTTTCCACCCGCGTGTCCGTCTGCCCAACTCTCTGACTGTTGTCAAATCCACCGCCTCGTCGCACTCTGCCGTCGGTCGGTGGATCGGTCCCACGGCAGCAACAGGCGACCGGATAAGGCATGGCAAGATAGGGTACGCTGGGGAAGGAAGGGAGAGAGGGTGAAAGAGGAGGAAAGGGGAAAGGAGAGTGGCGAGCTGGCAGCAGCCTGTCGCGCCCAAACACACACCACCACCACAACCACACCAACGCCAGTCGGCCAGTTGGGGACCGACCAGCCAGCCACAGTACGCAGACCAACGGTCGCACTCAGCTGAGCATATCTTCTTACAAGCTTGCACTGCGTGTTGCATCCGAAATCATCTTTGTCTAATTTGTGCGTGCCTACGGAAGTCATGCGGTGGGATGGACGACTTGAAAGTGGTTAACATTAGCGCAGTCACCGAACACGCTTACAAATGTCCTCGCTTGGTGCAAATACTTGGCATTTCTGTAGCACAAGTAAAAATGCATACAATTTGCGCTACATCCATCTGACGACTTCTGCTATTTTACTTTCACCACCCAACTTGTTACATCGATGCAATCCTACGTCGCACCCCCACGTGTCACCACACTGAAGGAGACGTAGCCTACCACAGCATGCGAGAACTCGGTGATTTTTCAAGCATGGACGGGATATGTTTTGCCGATCCAATTAATAATGGTGCTTTAAGAGGGTCTCGCCATAGGGACCACATTAGAGTCTCATGTGCGTAGAAGGCGAGCCAAGGAACTGGCAGCAACACAAGCGACCTATGCAGACCAAAGATATCTGTGCCACTTCCGTGACATCCCCATTTTGATCCATGTAATATGCTTGCTTCTTAAGTTCACTGCAAATGAAATTCTCCACACCTACGTTGATGGTGCTACTCTCATCTCCGCTATAGCAATGCAAAATTACGTTCGAAACACCGCTACGTAAACTCAAATTGCTTTCCATTTAGATGCGTTCTGTTCACACATATTTGCGCCCTTTTGAAGCTTCAAGTCTATCCTTACCTTACGACAGGGGAGTAAAATAAAGTACAATCATTTACATCCATCGTTTCAATGCATGTTGAGAGTAAATTGGATATTTATTGTCGAAACATGCCTCGAGGGCCGGATTATGAGTTAATTGCACCCACCTCCGAAATCCCAGGCGGACCTTTAGGTTACTGCCAAGAATTGTTCATTACCGGTGTCGTTCAAGTTTGTCTTGCCACATTTACCTGGTTTTACCTTCCCTACCTCCTGTACGCAGAAGCATTATCATCCATACGAATGCAGTCATGCATTCATTATCTTACCATTTACATGCCTAATACCGACACCACTGGGAAAATTTTTTATTTTCTATTGTTCTAGCTCAATCAGCTTGGCAATTAATGCTGTTTTACAAAATGTGTGCGCGACAAGTCATAGCGTCAACACGAGGAACACACGTAGGTCGTCACGCCCTTGAAGAGGACATCACTGTTGAAAATTGTAGCTAAAGTGGTAGAAGTCAGTGAAGTAATGTCAAATGCATAATAAATCTTGGCAGCATTTCTTATATGACTCCTTCAACACAAATAAATGTTCCCATCATTGTTTATGCCACCTCTTTTTTTAGGCATCTTGATAAGCAAACGATTTTCTAGCAAAGGATGATTAATGCTTTTCAAAATCATCACATATAGAAATGAGTGCCAACTTGCTGTGTTTGTTGAGACAACTTTTCGGTGGTACGCTTAAATTAACACTGAAGTTCACGAGTGGCGTGCATGTGGGAGATTTTGATTTTAGCTGAGTCGCGTATTTTTGGGCAAACAACTAACAGTTTCCCCATATTACTTAATAAATTATGTTAGTATATTCGTGCCACTTTTTGCAGCGTGTTAGTGTTTAACCTGGATGTGGCTTTAACCTTAACCACAATATTTAAAAATAAACGTAATAAGTGCCATTGGCGCCCTTTTGACAAAGCATTTGAAAATGTGGAGTTGAAGGAGAATGCGTTGACACCGTAAGAGGGATCGACTCCTTTGTCTGGTTGTGATGGTGTAAAAAAGACCTCGGTGTCGCTACTAGTTTTTGATCGACATATTTGACAGATCGGTTGGTTCTCACAGAAACGATTTTGCAACTTGATTGTACCGAAATCTGATTTGTGCTCATTTATGTATTTCGCGTGACAATGGTTTTGTTTACGGATACGGGTGTGGATATGGGAGGTGATGGTAGGCAGAGATGATGGGCAAATTGCATTGTAGGATGGGTACAACACAGCTACTTCACTCGTTTGTACGTTCGCGAGCAGGTGAGATCGCCAACCGTGTAGACCTGTAAAAAGAAATGCATGCACTTTGTGCTCACTCAATGCAGTTTTACACTCTTTTAATGGCGTGCAGGTGATGGCATTTGATTAGGTCGTGACGCTTGACTGCACGCGGTTTGCCTTAAAGTGGGGCACTTACAATTGTGGCCTAGCGGTGGTCGCCTCATTGGCACGACCACTGGCAGCCTAACTTCACTACATCAACGGGAGGAAAAAGCTATTCACCAAGTCAAGGCGTGCACTGATGTAGCAACTTGACCATCTCCACTTCCTCCCCCTCTGTGTTTACTAGTCGTCATCGTCAACTTGGTGAGCAGGCAGTGAGATAGTCTCCCCCGACTCCTGATGGTGGGTAGTTGGTTGTCTGCACTACAACCGCACCGAATGCAAAGTAACTGCCTCTTTTCCGCAATCGCCTACTAACTGCTGGTAGAGTAGCACGACCCACGACCCACCTCTCACACACCACCTGTGGAGGCGAGCAAAGCTAGAATTCTCAATGAGCGTGTCACATACACATGCAAGCCGTCCTCCCAATCTCCAATTTGGCATTGACACTAACTGCTTTTGCATGTACAAAGAGAAATGGCGGCTTACTGTGGTGTAGTCGAGATTGGCTGAAGGGCACTTCGCGTTGCCAGTTCTCTCACCTCCGCTTTGGCACTTTTAGCATGCAAAAATTGCTGGTCGTGTAACCGAAAAGTGCCGAAAAGGGCATTCACTGCTACCTGCTCAATATGTTGGCATGCGTGGAGCGACTACTGGCTGTCCCCCCTTCACCAGCCTCTCTAGCCCACATGCAAATAGATAAGGCACTCACCGCGGTCATCACGTCTCCATTGACAGTGCGAGTGGTTGTGATAGTCTCGCCGTCACCCACCTGAAGATGCTTCATCACACCATCCTCAACGCCAATCTTCGACTTGATGGGGAAAAAAACAAAGTATTGATTGCGTAACATGACTACACAATGCATGAGATGCGTCAGTCTCATTTGAGAGATAAAGCGAGTCGTGCTTGTCACGACCACACGAAAGACTGCGACCCACAGGACGAGTTGCTTTCCATCCTTTCTTGCATTGGTCGCAGACTGGTTGATCGAAACGGCAATAATGCTCGCAACAGTGGCCATCAGCAGTGCCTGTTAATACTCCATTTATGCACAAATGGGATAGAATAGGGTGGAAGTTTTACATTGATACTTGCCTTCATGAGAGTGCCACCGGAGGATGCCTCCTCGAACTCCTCGCCCAATCGGAAGGTTGCCTCGGTCTTTCCCCTTACGGAGGCGACGGAGATGTTGTACGTGTCTGTGTCTTTCTGCGAAAATGTTGTTGTTGAGCCAAATTGCAGAACCAGCTTCGCAATTGGACTAGGCACACCAAAGTGATGCATGAATTTGTGGAAGTCGTTGTTTGATTCCACCTTCCAGGTGCCCAGAAAGGCCTCCATGTTGCAAACAGACAACCAAATGCCGTCTGTGTGCACTTGGCGGGTGTGTGTTAGTGACACACAGTGTGAAAGCACACTGAGAGATGGAGGCGGGAATGCGGTTGGTGCGTGGTGCTTGCAAGGTGACGGCTGAGCAAAGGAGGAGGCATCGAAAGGGATTGCACCATGAGAGCTAAAGAGCGGCCTCTGCAATGCGCATTTACTGGCTCCACCTACTTCGAGACTAATGGCCCCTCTTTTGCTTTTTACACAAATGCGAACGATGCAGCGGTAGATGGTGTACTCTGCCAGAAGAGCAAAGATTCGAGTGAGCACGTCATCGCTTAGGCTAGTTATCCAACAAAAGAATAAAATGCGACAGAAGAACATAATTTAAGAGCAACTGTTTATCCAGCAGCGTGATTATACACTGCAGTATGGGAAAGAGAGTGGTTATTGCAATGCGCTTACTGTCCATGGGAACCAGATTTAGAGTTCAATATCGGATGGGCTCGCTTTCCGTCTTCATCGTTGTGAGGTAATAGGCAGAGCTGTGCATGCATGCAGTTAGGATTTTGCATTCAGGATTTTGTGCATTCATATCACGAAGCACAACTTTCGCAGGGAAATAAATGATACCCACATTTCCTTTACAAAAGCATGGTGGCATAAACCAATTTGTGAACAGTGCATTAGATTAATCAACGGGCTGACAGTAAACCTCGAACGTAATGTCGTGATTAGCAAACTAATTTAATTAATCTGACTTGATATTATAGTTATAGCCTAGTTTGTCAAAAGCGGTAATTGAAAACAAAGCAC